CATCTCTCCCAGCTGCCAGCAGCCTTCTGTCTCCCCTGGCCACCACCATGTTATGGAAAACAGTCCCATTCCTGGTACTTCCCATTTTCTTGGCACAACCAAATCCTTACCTTGCTTTAAGTTAGGATAAGAGGAAACTGCATACCAAATTAGGTGGTTCTAGCTCTTACCATTTTGGAGAAGTTCTTGAACAAACAGACACACAGACACATGCAAATTTCTAAAATAGATATAGATTAGTTTCTGCTGCATTTCTTTAGCTTATGTCTCTTTTTTTCCTGGGTGATTTCAAAGCAGTAAAATTAAAAAGCTCTAAAACCTTTGTAAATGAAAAGCTCAAATGGATACTTAATGAAATATATCTATTTGTCCTGACTCCAGAATTTTAGATAAAAGTTTGGTTCTATTTTATCATGAACGACATAAAGCATCTTGCAAAACTTGAGTATTACAAAGCAAATATGTTTCAACAGGTAAAAGAAAAAAATGGCTCCTTTAAATTCTAGGTTGTTGAAAACACTGACATCTTAATTGGATCTGTGTACGTACTCACCATAGACTGCCACAGCATGCCGGGCTCTCGCCTTCTCCACTGACATTCTCAGTGTTCACAGATTCAGTTTCACTTGTGGGCATGCTTGCTGTTAGAAGACAAAATAAGTGTTAGATTTACAGTCAAAGTCAGCCCATTGCACATGATTTGCTTTTATATCTTATTAAAAGAGCACCTCTGCTTGTTTAGGTTTGCCAAGAGTTTTATTCAAAAAGCAGAATAGCAGCAGGAAGTCATAATGTAGAAGACTCTTTAGCTGCTTTTTTTTTGTTTGTTTGTTTGTTTTTTGGTAAAGTTAAATGCACAGGACTCCAGGTTGTATTAGAGGATGTTTCTATTGTCTCAACAATTTAACATGTCTATTGAAAATGTACCACAGAGCACAATGAAGCAACATTGCACTTAAAAGATGCTGTCCGGAAAAAAAGAATATGCCTGGCCTAACCTGCGAGACGAGACCTCTTTTGTGTGATGTGTTTCAGTATCATGTTTGAGGGTTTTTTTTCAGAGGCATACCGTAAGAAAGGTAATAGTTGGTCCCACCTATTATGCCTGACAATTCCAATAAGTGCAATAAAGGTCCTTTCAAACAGAAGAGAAGCCATCACACTCTGATCAATCTGATCAAGTTGAGCACTCTCTATTTTTATTTTCCAAATTAAAAAAGTAAAACATGAAGGCAAGGAGCTAGCAAGCAATTTCATCTGAAAATATGACGAGTAATCAGGAAGGAGCGCTGGGAATGGCGTAATGGGTAATATAAATGAGAAGGAAGATTGCCTGTGATAAAAGGGGATTATAATATTTGTTACACATTGGTGACTTACTACACGTGGCGAAATCATTACTGAAGAGTTAGAGACTGTAATTAATGGTTCATTAGACAAAAATCTGCTGATACTGGTTACGCTCACTGATCCTCAATTCAACAGTAGTGTAAGAATGGCGTAATGGGTAATATAAATGAGAAGGAAGATTGCCTGTGATAAAAGGGGATTATAATATTTGTTACACATTGGTGACTTACTACACGTGGCGAAATCATTACTGAAGAGTTAGAGACTGTAATTAATGGTTCATTAGACAAAAATCTGCTGATACTGGTTACGCTCACTGATCCTCAATTCAACAGTAGTGTAAGAAGATACCCACCTGCTGCAAAATATTTTCAATCATTCTTTAAACTGAACATTATTACTTTGGCTGCACTTGTCAAGATAAAAGGTAAACCTTAGCATGCAGACTACAAGGGCTTATACTCTTGCCCATTTATGAAGTGGGGATGCCATCATAAGTAGGAAAACTAGAGTGAGGATAAAATTAGCATCGAAGTTACTGGAGAGTAGTAAGGACAACTGCCAATTAGACTTTTGCTTTTAGTATATTAGAAACTGTTGCTGGGATCTTTGTTCAGTGTCTAATGTTTTTTTACCAAATTGATCACTAAAAAAATTTTTTGTATTATTGTTTTTGTGATTTTTTTTTTGTTACGGTTCCTGAAATGACAGTCCTGAAGACTGAAGGGACAAATTTTCATTTACACTAAAGCTCCATTATTCCATTATTCTGGCATTTTAAAGAATCTGCATAGTGGGTGTAAATTACACATAGCTCAGTATCATTCAGAACCAGGCCTTCTAGTATTTATTGTCCATGGGTCAAGTATAGAACAAGCAGTACAAGATTCTCCACCTGCCAAATTACATCAAACCTGACCAAGAGAGACCATCTCTAGGTGGCAAGGGGTAGCTTAGTTTGCATATCCAGTCATTTCTGGACTTGATGGTGAGACTGCCAACTCTAGATTAGCCAGATTCTCAGCTAATGTTTGCAGCAGCCGAGCATCTGGTACTGCAAATATCTCATTACATGAAATTTCACACCTTCTTAGTGTTGCATTAAAGAGACAAGAAACACAATCTAAAATGCTCATGCAATTGTTCAAACAAAAGAAGACAGCCCAGTCAGTAAACACTGCAAAACATAAGATTCCTTTGTTTCAGATAGTTCTTTTAAAAAAGACATAAGCAGCTCCTTTATATTGAACTTAGATCACACATGTGCCTAATTAGCACATGTGCATCACTTACAAGATATGCTTCTTTACAAATGAGACAAAACATTAAAAAATCAACAATTAATATTGTAAGTCTTGTATGAAAATTATAGTTACAGTTGCAAAAAAGTTGAAAAGGGATTATTTTAATGTCAAACAATAAGTCACTGGCAGTCACATTTCCCTTAGTAGAAAGGATTCATGGATAGATTGGGTAAATCCCAGCTCTATAGATTAATAATTTTTAAAAAGCTTAAGAAATAATGTTTTGATAAGCCTACTTAGGGTGCTATCTCATATCTGCTGTTTAAACAGTTGTTAAGTTTTCTTCCTTTGGTAATTTCTGCAACATTATACCGTAAGATTTTGCAAGCAGAAAAATCAACATTTTAGCCATGGAGAAAGAAGAAAAAATACAGTTTGTTTTATAGCAAAAATTGATATTATTGAACTAAACATGAAACTAAACTTTGGTTGTTCTGAAGAACTGTTAAACCACCAAATTTCCATGCCATGGGTAATGAAATATCAAAATATTCTGGAAAGAATTAGGTGAATCTTTAACACACATCTTGGGCTATTCTATGAATGACAAATTAGATCTCAGGACATCCATTGACAGATACTGTGACTTAATATAAGGGTTTGGTGAGACTATGCTGTAGCTAAGCACAGAAATATGTGCATTCAACAATAAAAAATGGGCATTTATGAAGAACAAGTACACCATCCAAATAACTTTGTTTGGCACTAATTATTCATATTACCTGCATGAGCAATATTTTATTTCTATCCATTATAATAATCTTGTCACAAGTTTATATAAGGCAGGGGAAGTAGAAAATCACTGTTTAAAATTACATTAAGATTCATTATTGTGTTAGATAAAATATTTTAAACTGGGAAAATATGAGTTTATTACCAGTTCTTTTAAAAAAAATAAGACAAGTGGTCTAAAGGTCCAATTCAAGAAAGCACTTAAGTACATACTGTATTTAAGTCTATTCCTATTACAGGCAGTACTAAATTAGATGCCTACATGTGCTTCCTGAATAGCGACGTTTCAATGTGCAGCAAAGCTTAAATGTCACCACATAATTGTAGCAGTGTTTCTTTAAGACACTGGAAAAGCAAAAATACTCTGCTGTACTAAGGGTTGTGGCAGTTGCTACGGTAACTAGTGAGTTGCTGAATTTTTTTTCTTCTGTGTAGTAGAACAATCAGTTATATTTAAACTACATAATTCATGGGTATATTAATTCTCCTCCTAGACAATGTCCTTCCTCACAATTCTTCTAATATTTTTTGCATGGATATATCTTTCTCCACATTTGTTCAGAACCCTTCTCTTTTCCCTCCCGATGGAAAATGTTGAGCCTGACATTGCACAACTGACATCAATGAGAATTATGCTCCTTATTTCAATGGGAAGAAGATAGGCTTCTGGGACAGAGTTTCCTCTCAGATGAAGTTTCCTCTCAGAACTCAGTGGAGTTATTCTGCATTTACACTGGTGTAGCAGAACAGAATCTGGTCCTGTGTCTTGTGCTGGAATTCTGCAGCCTTTCCCCTTGCTTGCCAAAACTGGGATCAGGTAGACTCAGGAGAAAGTGATTTTTCAACTACCTCATTTGAAATGCTTATTCCCTTGAGTAATCAGTGAGATTAGGGCATAATTCATAGAAATGAATGCATACTTTAGCTAACATATAATACCATGTTTCCCTCACACATACACCAGAGTAACTCCGGAATGACTCCAGTGAGATCAGTGGAGTGGCAAAGGTGTAAAACAGATATTAAGAGCAAGGGGAATTCAGCCCATTGTTTCCAGGCTATACTATACTTACATCCTACAAAAATGGGAAGTTCAGGTCTTGTGGCACAGGTCTATTGATTGACCTCCACTTAAGAAATACAAAATGGAAGCTTTAAACTACTCTCCAGTTTCTTGTAACGTGTCAATCGGGGTGTGTCTACACAGCAGCATTATTTTGTAATAATGGCCATTATTCCAGAATAACAATGTGAGCATCTACACGGCAATTCTGTTATTTCGAAATACATTTGAAATAACAGACAGCTTATTCTGACTTCTGTAAACCTCATTACATGCGGAATAACACCTATTCTGAAATAGCAATTCAGACTAATTATTCCCCAGTGCCTCCTGCGGCTCTAAATCAAGATAGCATGTCCACATTAGGGAAGCCTACCTCGGACTCATTTTGAGGCTTTGTAGTGTAGACATGCCATTTTGAAATAAGCTATTTTGGAGTATTTCTTCTGGAATAGCTTATTTCAAAATAAGCATGCAGTAGATATATCCACAGTGACAGGGTTTATTTATTTATTGTATATACATATCATAAGGTTTATACAATGTTTATACAATGGCATAAAAATAATGTAACTTTAAGACAAGCCTTGAATTCAATCCTAGCAAGATTTTATTACCAGTCAAAAATGTCACCCTACTTTACCTCAGTTTAGCTACTTTAAGAAAAACAAAGATTCTAGGTAAAATCCTAGTCCCAGTTGAAGTTATTAGGAGTTTTGCCACTGATTACAATTAGATCAGGATTTCACCTTCTGTTTCTCCCAGGATCATGATCCTATTTCAATTTGAGACATTGTAGGTGTAGTGCTGGAGGAAAGTATGGGGAGAAACGATACAATAATGGATAGAATAGGGGAACTTAGAAACCCAGCATGTATTAAACTCTAATTATAAGACAGCTGTGAATGGCAATATAGAGAATTCTAGCTTCAGGAGCTATGAAGACAGCAAGCCTTTCAATCCCAAGCACAGCTCAGTAGCAATGACTGCAAGAGCCCACCCACTCTCACTAATCCAAACTGACAGTGGTATCTGCATTGGAAAGGCATAATTACATGACCATGGCCTTTTAAAGAGAAGGAATTTATGGGAAAAAATAACAGTGTATAGGATGAGTCAGAAGGATACTTTATGGCCTTGTGTTAGAGCTCAGGTGTGCTAAGTGAGAGACATGTTTTTCTTTTCCCTCCCT